AACTGCTAAAAATATGGGGTTTTTTTTTCATTTTAAAAAAGAAAATTTTTCGTATCTTAAAACCCCCTATCTTTCCAAAAGAAAAAATTTTCTCAGCAATAAAATTTTAAAATTGTCCCGCTTTTTGAAAACCCTTTTCGCTGGAAAAACTAAAATTAGTAGTAAAAAATACCCGTTAATAAAATTAATAATTGGGTTAACCTTTTTTGAAGGAAAAAAATTTAAAACTCCGTTTTAATTTTTGCCCCCTTTTTTTGGCAAAGTTTAAAAATTCCTAAAAACCTCCCGGGGAAAAGGCCCAAAAACAATTTTTTAAAAAAAAACTGGGGTTAAAAAGTTTTAAATTTACCCAAAAAAGAAAAAATTTTTCCGTTTCCCCTTTGGGAAAAAAAGGACTGGCCGCATCTCAAAAACGAAAGATTTTGAATTAACGTTTTGTCCACATCGGAACAACTAGTTAAGATCAAAGGAGACGGCGTTGTTTCTTAAAATGTCAACTCCAACGCCATAGTAAATTAAGGATAGTACATTCTTTAGTGAGTCGCAGAACTGAGCACAACTCAATCCCTTGTAGTTTATTGTTGTCAACCCTTGTAGTTTATTGTTGTCAATCCCTTGTAGTTTATTGTTGTCAACCCTTGTAGTTTATTGTTGTCAATCCCTTGTAGTTTATTGTTGTCAACCCTTGTAGTTTATTGTTGTCAAACCCTTGTAGTTTTTATTGTTGTCAACCCTTAGTAGTTTTATTGGTTGTCAACCCTTGTAGTTTTATTGTTGTCAACCCTTGTAGTTTATTGTTGTCAACCCTTGTAGTTTTATTGTTTGTCAACCCTTGTAGTTTATTGTTGTCAACCCTTGTAGTTTTAATTGTTGTCAACCCTTGTAGTTTATTGTTGTCAACCCTTGTAGTTTATTGTTGTCAACCCCTTGTAGTTTATTGTTTATCAATCCCTTGTAGTTTATTGTTGTCAACCCTTGTAGTTTATTGTTGTCAACCCTTGTAGTTATTGTTGTCAACCCTTGTAGTTTATTGTTGTCAACCCTTGTAGTTTATTGTTGTCAACCCTTGTAGTTTATTGTTGTCAACCCTTGTAGTTTTATTGTTGTCAACCCTTGTAGTTTATTGTTGTCAACCCTTGTAGTTTATTGTTGTCAACCCTTGTAGTTTATTGTTGTCAACCCTTGTAGTTTATTGTTGTCCAATCCTTGTAGTTTATTGTTGTCAACCCTTGTAGTTTATTGTTGTCAACCTTGTAGTTTATTGTTGTCAACCCTTGTAGTTTATTGTTGTCAACCCTTGTAGTTTATTGTTGTCAACCCTTGTAGTTTATTGTTGTCAACCCTTGTAGTTTATTGTTGTCAACCCTTGTAGTTTATTGTTGTCAACCCTTGTAGTTTATTGTTGTCAACCCTTGTAGTTTATTGTTGTCAACCCTTGTAGTTTATTGTTGTCAACCCTTGTAGTTTATTGTTGTCAACCCTTGTAGTTTATTGTTGTCAACCCTTGTAGTTTATTGTTGTTAACATCATTTTCGAATGATAGTCATTGTCCATCATCTTATTAAATATTGTACTGGAACAAGATACATATTTAAAATTCTTTAAATGTTAACAAATGTAGTTACACGTGTATGTACGATGATCTCTGGTTTCCGCTATTCATCAGGATTGTGGAAGGTCAGTGGTTGGATATTGTACCTGAATATTGTCAGAATTGGTACCTGAGGTCTGTGATGTTCGTGGTGTCGGTAGTTTTCACTCAGGATCACGGCAGTGAGTTTCTATGAATTCACCAGAGCACATTTTAGCCAATGCATCGTGCGGTCAGGCTAACAAGCAGTTTATCAAAGAAGAGTCTCACTTTTCATGATCAATGACAACGAAAGTGACCCGCACCGTCCGGATTTCGAACCCCTGATTTACAGTGCCTGTAGAGGTCATCGGACAATTGGGGGCATCTGAGGTCTCTGAAAGAGTCGTGTTTGACCTCTACGGTGTTTTTGTGACTTTAAACCAGGTGCAAGACAAAACATTTAATCAGATTTCTTTTCTCAGACAAGTCCAATATAATTTAAACTATGTCTATATGCTTTTGACATTTGCATAGGTACGGTGTAAAAAATATAAATCAATCTTTTATGTTCTAGCTAAACAATTATCTCGAGGGTTGGCAAGTCCTCCTTTTTTCATGTAAGTTTCTACAGTTTTGCAGTCAACTCTGATATTTGGTCTCAAGTATGAAGAATATAAAAGTGTAACATAATTGAGTTAAAAAGTCATTTAAAAATAAAATATAACATCATATATTTATGATTTTTTTACAGAATACATATACTAAATATACAAACTTCTTTTGATATTTTACCATTACGCACAGCTTAATTAAGCAGAAACACAAAGTACAAAAGTTTCGCTTTCAGTATATCCTAACTTGGAACGGCCGAAAATGAAAAATGGAATGTGTAAATGAATTTTCTTTGAACAGTTGGAGTGATAAATACTTCATTAATCATTCCAGCATCGGGGCTCTATGCACTGTCATAACATTTACAAATTCAAACATTTTAATTGGCACCATCGCCTCGCGAGGACGTCATTAAAACATTGCCTTAATTGAATTTCTTTTCTCCTTCTTTAATATATGACAGCGGAAACTCTTGGTGCCACTGCCCTTCCATTAATCAACATCAGTTTCTGATTTAAGCCGATTTATCAATGACACGGGGAACAAAAGGATGTTCCTAACTTGCTTTCAAACTATCGTTTTCACTTAGTGTTTATTCGCTAGATTGTATTTGAGTATTTTGTCAGCCCTGTGTCTAGAAACGTTACAGCTTGGCATTGGTTGAAGGGTGATACAATGTCATCAACAGATCGTGAGAATACATCGCTGTAAAATTTCCGTGTCTCCTTGGCACCGTCCAGTGCTTTGTTTTAGAAAAAAAGACTCTTCATTTGATTGATTTTAATTATGTCTGTTACGAAAATGAGAAGCGTTTGTGTAGAAATGTTCGCCCTAACAAAGAGGCTGAGAAAATGTGTACAACAATTATATAAAAGGGTATATTATTTTAGATGCTGTATGCGGCTATAAATAATAAAATGAGATATTGTTAAAGTGGTTTGTTCACAGGTGTTTATCATTTTTGAAAATGAGTATATAATGCATTAGATTACACCTCCAGATTCTTGCTTTTGTATGGAAATTTGAAAATAGTTCTTATAATTAAATTGTTGTGACATTTAAAATGCATACAGTGATTTTATTTAACTTTAAGGTTAATGTAAGTAATATATAGACTAGAAATACTTATAATATGTAAAAACATGTAAATTTACATCTTCACTCTGATAAACATGGGGTAAAGCAATATGGCTATAACAATAGTAAAGTTCACAGGCAGTCGGTGCCTGGCTTGGATACTATACATGTACATGTATGACCACTCCCATCTATTTTTGTGATAAATTAAATATTTATTTATTCAAAATGTTTTAAAACATCAAATTTTAGTAAAACAACAACAAGAAGTTGTTCTATACAATACTATAAAAATGACTTTATTTTATATAACATTATATTGATGAAATTAAAAGAACAACTTTTTGGTTGTTTTACGTTTTAAAAACATTTTGAATAAATAAATATTTAATTCATCAAAAACAAGAATGGGAGTGGTTATGTACATGTATAGTATCCAAGCCACGCACCGACTGCCCGTGGTAAAGTTTGTCATATTTTACATAAACCATTCAAATTTCATTAAAACTTTGAATGATTTATGTAAAAAATGACACTATACTTTATATATTAATAAATTTTTCTTCATTTTGATATTTTTGGAAATTACACATCTAGGTGGCATGCCACTTAAAAAAAGGGTCTCCATTCCCATTCGATGATAATATATCTCACATAATCACACTGTACATTTGTCTACAAGTTTTAATAGCTATTGAGGCTGCAATTCTTATTATTACGAACTTTATACTGTGACTGTTTCTCGATTTTATATGTAGTTATATACTCCATTCTATGAGAGATGTCTATTTCTCTGATACTTTCATGGATATTAGCATTGTGATAATATATTTATTGGGAATAAGGTGGAGTTGTTGATAATTTACAATCCGGATCACGATAGTAAGCCACATTACCAGAGCACAGTTCAGACACCACATCTTTCCTGGGCAGCAGGCTGTCACGCAGTTTTACCAGTACTAGTTACCTTCAGTTTCGCAAGAGGTACAGTGCGAATGACTGTAGAAGGATTTCTTTATCAATCACAACGAAAGATACAACTATCGTTGGTATTTAACATTGTTATATTGGCTATAATAGTGGATACGGTCACTGTTAGCATTTTAATTCTCTTTTGAATTGTAGAAAAAAAAATTTAACCATTAATTTTATAGAATGCTTTATATAGAAATAGATCTGGCAATATTTTGAATAATTATCGAGTTTAGATTAATTGATTGAATTTCTAAATTTTGATAAATCGTATAATCATGAAAATGAAACAAAAACATTTTTTTCATGCTGACTTGAAATAAAAAAAATATCTGGAGATGCCATGTTCAAAAAAGTACTGAAAACCGTTAAGATGGTACGCTATACATGTTTTGGTATCAGATGAATTAGTTCGACTGTTTTTGTTCGTAAAATGAAATAAAAACAATTACGTTGATTAAACCTAGCAAATTTGCTTCATAATTAACATAGAATGCTTGACGTTTGAGCTATTAATTCAAAAGAACATTCGTAGAAGGTCTCAACCCGGTACGGAATTAGACCCAGCCCATTGTAGTCTAGAAAGTAGTTCTTTAAAATTATGAAATGGCCCAATTTAAGTCATCTCTAGTTAGATTGTTCATAATTAAAGTGTATTTATTGCATGTGTGTAGTTTTTGTGTGTTATATGATGACTTTAAAAGTTGTTTTTTGTGTATTCTCCAGGAACTCATTTGTTGGTGGAAGGATTAAAGATGTACTACCCCAGCTGTCAGGAGTTTTTAAAGTGGTGAATTTAAACAGTGTTACAACAGAATGAAGATTTCTGAAAAAAGTAGATGGCTAACCTATTATATTTTGGGCATCATTTGACTTAGATAGTGTTAATGTTTAAAGTTGAAGACAGTATATATAATTCATCAAGAACATTGGAATCCAGAATTAAACCTCAAATTTGACTGATTTACTATAGAACTAATAGTACGAAAATTCACCGGGCCGAGTCCAAGATAAGAAATGTCAAAAATGGGAACTGGTTGATGGATATGGATGAAACTTTGCATCAGTGTTGTGTTTATGAATAGAAGTCAGGAAAATAAAGGATTACTGACAGGTTTGAAAATTTTAAATTTTATTTCAAATTTTAAAATTTGACATTTAAAATTGGGACATATGTTGTTGTTGTTATCTCCCCTTCAAATGTAGATGTCTGCTACTGTGTCAGTAAGCAGGGAGAAAGGTACAGAGCTTTTTGCATGAAAGATTAACCACATTTTATTGAATTAAAACTGTAAAAAAAAAATTTAGAATTAAAAAAATGAAATTTAAATTTTGTAAAAAGCAGTTTATAAATTGATAAATTTTATTTTTGCACCCTGTGTTAAGCAATATGCTATAAATCTAGCTTATTTTTATAAGATTTATATAGAAAATGATAATTTTTAGAGAAATGCATCTTAAATTATGGATAAATTATGCATTGAAGGAATTGGGGAGTGTGTGGTTTCAGATTGGTTACATTGGTAAAAAAAGTGATTGGCAAGCCCATTCCAGAGCTCTCTAAGGGGCCCAAGATTCACCGGCCATGGGATTCGAACAAGCACCATAGTAGCCTATTGCTCATATGGACCACACATTATATGTTTTGATGTTTCAGCAAAGGATTGATGCTGTAGTAATCAGTATGTAAATATTCACTATTGTCCTGTATTTAAATGAAGAAGAACTAACAATTGAACAGGACAAATGTGATTTATATTTTGGAAATATAGGCATTTTCAGTGTAGTGAAACTTGATGTTTTGCTGTGTTGCAGAATGTATTTGCTAGTAATATATACACATAAAAGATTTTCTAGTCATTAAACAGTGTATTTTATGGATAATTGACTCATTTAGAATAACACAGTTGATATAATTGTTGTTGTTGTTGTTGTTGTTGTAGCTGCTACAGCAGTTAAATTAGGTTAGGTTTATAATGTCTTAACTGCTATTTTCATGCAGGCATGCATTTTTCAGAACACAATATTTATATAAGCTCTCCTGTGTGAATTAACAAATCTAGCCATTTATTAATTAAGACATTATTTTCTTTCTTTTTCAGATATTAGAATTACAGCATAAATGCCCCTTATAATTTTCTTAAGCATGTACTAGTGTTGCATATTTTTTTCAGACCATGCAGTTACCAAAGCCTGGGTTTGAGTATATGACCTTACCTTATCCTGGTAAAGATCTATAGAAGGACTCCTTCAGCTCTGTTTGGCAGCAGCTTTGTCAGGACACATTGAGAAGGTAATAACTTATGTCTAGTTTGAAACTTCAGCTATTGGCGGTAGCGCCTCCCAATGCTCGGGTAATATTTGGTAGTTATTTTGATGTATTTCAGGAGAAAATTTCTCTAATTCTGACTATATTAAGACTTCTCAATGATTTAAAGTGGGGGACAGTATGTGTCATCTTTTTAAAGCCTTATTTGTGTGAGAGTTGGCTAATCTTACTTTGTCAGAAGACATAGCCCATGGTGATATGGTAACCTCTTTGCTAACCTTAAGATTACCTCTGTTTGTCTTTATTGATATCTTAAGCAAACAATATAGGGTGTGTATGTTGGTTCTTAACTTTATTTACCATGGTATATAGGTAAAAATCATAATCAGTAAGTTTTATTACAATATTGAAGGAAAAAAATTGAAAAAAGCACATTTAATTGTGATTACTTGTATTTTAACCCAAAATTTCATGCTCTCATTTAAAGAAATTGAGTTTCTATTACAATTTTTAAGCAATAAGGTCTTATTCTTTCATAGAAGTAACTGTATGACATTAGCCGGTAACACTAAACTTTATTCAAAGAAAATCCATGTACAGAATCAAAAGATATGACAGAATTTGTAATATAAATTTTTGCGTAAAATTCTATTGGCCGAGCCTGACTTTTCGCATGAAGGTTCATATTTAAGAAATTGTACCGCATTAATGTAATTTGTTAGAGACATGTCAAACCTATATGACTGTATTTGTATAACACTAAATTACTAGGAAATGAGTATAAAGTTTGGCTTAACTTAAATTTTAGATTCATTTAGGTCTCAACCCGGTACGGAATTAGACCCAGCCCATTGTAGTCTAGAAAGTAGTTCTTTAAAATTATGAAATGGCCCAATTTAAGTCATCTCTAGTTAGATTGTTCATAATTAAAGTGTATTTATTGCATGTGTGTAGTTTTTGTGTGTTATATGATGACTTTAAAAGTTGTTTTTTGTGTATTCTCCAGGAACTCATTTGTTGGTGGAAGGATTAAAGATGTACTACCCACCAGCTGTCAGGAGTTTTTTAAAGTGGTGAATTTAAACAGTGTTACAACAGAATGAAGATTTCTGAAAAAAGTAGATGGCTAACCTATTATATTTTGGGCATCATTTGACTTAGATAGTGTTAATGTTTAAAGTTGAAGACAGTATATAATTCATCAAGAACATTGGAATCCAGAATTAAACCTCAAATTTGACTGATTTACTATAGAACTAATAGTACGAAAATTCACCGGGCCGAGTCCAGAATGGGAACACCAATCAGCGTTAGTGTGTAAGTGTATATATTGTACCCGTATGTCTGAAGTATGAGATTTTATATGTGTTCTGCCAGAGATAATGAAAACTTCGCGCCATGATTGATTTCCTTCGCCTACTGAACAAACTTTGTATGGGTATACCATAATGAACTATTTGCCTGAATAGATGCATTTAGAAAATCAAAAGACAGCATGAATTCCCAACAAAACACATCTGTTAGAGCAATTATACTAATAGATAGAGGATGGAGTTACAAAAACTCATTTTTCAAACACTATCTCTGTTTCTCACTGAAATTAATGAGAGTGTTAATGAAAACATTTGCACTTCGCTGAAAAGAACAATTCATATTGATGAGTGTTTATTATAGAGGATGACAAGAAGAATGAGTGAAGGGTGGAGATCAATGGCTATCGAATGATAGGGGTACAATCACACCCCTTTGTACCACAACCTCTTCACAGACAAATTGATATGGTAAAGGTCGGAGATATGACCCTCCACTGTAACTCGACATTTTCAATTTTGAGATGGCGTCTTACGAACCAATCAAATTCTGTGCATAAATTACCGAAAAAAAACAAACAACTGCGGGTTAGGTACAGATATAGCAAAATAAAAAAGGTCAATGTACCTTTAATTAAATGTGTAGCAGGTTTGAAGAGTTTTTTTTATCCTAAAAATAGATATTTCTAAGGTTTGCACTTATTCACGTAAAATTTTTGAAGCTCTACAATATCCCTATGCGCCAATCATTTGAAACTCCGGCATTTTTCTTCCTCTGCCGTCGCAGGGTAAAGCGGGGGAAGCCGGATCTTTATACCCACTCTGCCGGGGAAAAGTGGTGCATGTGTTCTTTCGAAAAATTAGCGGCGGAAATGTATTATTTGCATTGCGGGGATATTTAGCGGGAATTTTGAGTATGAGTGTCAATATTACCGTAGGGTGGCCCCTTTACTCGTTAACGAAGGAAATTTGGTAATTCAAAAATCAGGGATGGGGACTGGGATTGCAATTGACTGGTGCATCAATAAAACAATATCAATGTAAATGCAGACAATTAACTCAAATTAACTATACAAGAAGTACTTTTCATCGAATGTATCATATCAAATGAATATATAGTTTAAAATGCCATATACATGTATTCTTATTTTCACTATATATATAGTTTAAAATGCCATATATTCTTATTTTCACTATTATGATAAAAAAGACACACGGCTTTACTTTTGAGTACCTGTATAATTATATACGCCATGTAACTATTGTTTTTATACAAGTCTTGATTCACGTAAAACACGTGCAGAAATGAAATCCCAGTAGAATAAGAACAAGCATTATAAGCTACGACTAAAATTCAAAACAGGTCTTGCAGTAATTATTAAAACATTCTTTTTATTGAAGAGAACAAAAACATTATTTATTCCCAAGGCAAGATGGAAAATTCTGAAAAACAATGAAGCAGTGTACTGTAGAGGGATTGTTGGTGAGGTTGTATGTGTTTTTTTATGTTTATTTTTGCTGTAAAACGTAGAAGATTTACATCAGCTCAAGCACATTGCACACATTTCTCTAGCAGTGCAAAGTTGCCCGTATAGATTATCAGCGATGGGCTGTAAGATGCAATGGCTGTCAGCTTCAGACCTTCATCAAATCAATAAATGTCAACAATGTCTAAATAATGAGATCTTGCTGAAAAATCTAAACCCGTATCTATCTCCCCACTAAAACAGTTTCCTGTACGCTGGTAAACTCACGAGAATTTCATGAAATTTTATAGCAAAGATAAGAAAACTGTTTTCCGGAAGGACAAAATCGTCTGCGGAACCTTTCAAAACTGCTGGTGTGTTGTTTTTCAAAAGGTTGGATGAACATGCAGCTGTTATGATACGTCTGTATTTGATTAATGCAATTTATAATTGATGAACAAACTTCTACAATTTACAAAGTGGTGTATATATTAAATGAAACGGTAAGTGAGGTAAGTAGGTACCAATACATAGGCCTAATATACCTTAATAATGGTTAAAGTTATACATGGAATATTCAATTGTAATTATCAACAAGCAAAAAGCTTACCAAATCGAAATGGAAACAGACCGAAATGAACAGCCTATAAATGAGAAATTATAATACAAGGCTGTGTTTTATAGAAAATCCTTAGTGCGACCAAAACGTTTCAAATACAATGTCCTAACTTACTGACTCCTATGTCATGTGATTAAAGCGTGTGTCCTTGTATTCCTTCACATTTCTCAAAATTATTTCTTCACATTTCTCAGAAGGGTTAATTAAATTAAAGACTAAAGTATTTGACTTCATATGTGCCGTGTCACGACAAAACCAACATAATAGGTTTGCGACCAGCATGGATCCAGACCAGCCTGCGCATCCGCGCAGTCTGATCAGGATCCATGCTGTTCGCTATCAGTTTCTCTACTTGTTATAGGGTTTGTAAGCGAACAGCATGGATCCTGATCAGACTGCGCGGATGCGCAGGCTAGTCTGGATCCATGCTGGTCGCAAACCCATTATGTTGGTTTTGTCATGACTCGGCTCAATTATTAAATGTTTATTGAAATGACGTAAGGACGTAGGCTACACCTAATACTTTCTATGAAACTTAGTCATGCACTTAATTTTGTAGCGTCGATTTTCATTAGCTTATCGTGACTTTATATTGTCTATATCCACGGCTGCTACAAATGTAATTACACATGTATTAACTTTTATTTCAATCAAAGAACACACTTTTACAGGGTCAAGACTGGCAGTAATAAATTCGTTCGGGACGTTTCACAGGTACTTGTTCGTGTTATATGAACTGTGAAAAATATTTATTCGTACATTGTAATAATAAAACAACATTCATTTACATGTATAAACATCGAATAATACTGGAAGCCGCATCATTTGATGCATTAAAAGCACAAAGATTTAATACGGTAAAAAAACTAAGAATATATTTTTCTCAATTTTAGAATCAATCTCTTTCACTTTTTTAAACAAGCATTTATTCTCAATGTACGGTTTTACGGTACACTCTAGGAATATTATGTTTTTCCCATGTACAATATACAACAAATGTTGTACATGCTCCTTATTTTTCGGCGTTCGACGGTCATCATTGTATTACTGCAAAAAACACATATTTATTTTGAGTGATCACCCTTCAAGTGAAAGACAATTAAACAACTCTGATTTGATGATAGCGGGCAGATATTTGATGGTTGTTGTCTCATTAATCAAAACAGATTAAAACAAGAAACAATCTCTGTGACAATGCGGGTATTCTCATTTCTATACACCAACAAATCTGTTCGTAGACACCAATATCTTTAGGGGAACATTATTTATTTATTTATTTATTTATTTATTTATTTATTTATTTATTTATTTATTTATTTATTTATTTATTTATTCATTCATTCATTCATTCATTCATTCATTCATTCATTCATTCATTCATTCATTCATTCATTCATTCATCCATCCATCCATACACGCACGCAGCTTCGTCTGTCCTTCCCTTCTTTATTAAATTTTAGTAATAATTATCAGTGAAAAGCATTATATGAAAATATAAGCATTTCTTTATTTTAAAGACATCATGTTTTTTGTTGAAATTTGATAATGTCAACGTTTTTTTTTGTCTATAGTAAATGACGACATAAGCGATTATCATTTGAGTACACATGTCACAAAACTTTTCATGGCCATTCATTGTGAACGGTATTTTCGTGTTTTCATGTTTCGAGTCCGACTGAACCGTTTTTTTAATTGCCAATAAATTAAAAGAAAAATCTTTAACCTCTAACACTCACCACAACATACATGTATATCTTAAATAGACTTGTCCATCTTTCAATCTGGACAAAACCATTCAACATTATCTTCATCAGAAACATTACAGTAAAAACAACAACAAACAAACAACGCATTTATTATCATCATTATCGTTATCATCACCCCCATCATTATCAAAACCATCGTCACAACCACCACCGATCCTTTTTTATCATAAATATCATAACTTTTATGTGTAATATATATCTTTTAAACTTCTCCTCATTAATTGCTTTTCAATTTACCGATTAGTCCCGATCCCTTTAAAATACGAACCGTTTCCAGTAAGTCTGAAATTGTATAGAGTTTGTTAAACTCATCGATTTTGGTGTAAAGATATAGAATTACAGTAATTTGTAACGTCTGTGTAATCTAAAGATATTACAATCTCTGCAAACAGTTCGTTCACAGCAAATTGATAGATGTAAAATTTCTATTCTTGTTTGTATAAATAATAAATTATTATTGATTTAACATTAAAATCGTATGACAGGTGTCAGCATATTTAGTTTGCAATTGTTAATGGTGACAGATAACTCATAAAGCGTCTACTGTATCATGGTACAAAGCGCTTACGCGTTTCTGATTAATATGTCATTAAGCAGTCGTTTCGAATTTATTTATTTTCCATTTTTTATCAGCGTTTATAAATGATTTAACGATAGTTAACTGGAGCATTATGTGACAAATTTGATTAGCTATTTATTGTGGAAATGATTCAGCTTTCCCCGTATATAAATCACGAAGTAGATTCATCTAAAACTAACGAGATTTTATAGTAAACATGATAAATCCTTAAGTTTGACATAAGTCTAATGCGTTTTGTTGTAAATAGGATAGCAGAGTTTTGTTGTGCTATTTTGTATTGTTTTGCTACTTTGTTGTCTTTTACCAGTGCTTTGCTTCATTTCGCTGTGCTTCGCGTTGTTTTTACTTTAATTTATTCTGCTTTGCTTTTCTTTTTTTGCTTTATTATACTTTCTTCCTTTTCGTTGCTTTACTTCGCTTTCTTCCTTTCCGTTGCTTTACATCGTTTTCACTTTGTTTTGTGGTGTTTGGATCTGATCTGTTTTGTAAAACACCTTTTGGGGATATATATGAACTTGAGTAATCTTGATTTATGCTATTTTCTTTAAT